TTGCATAAAAAAATATGTGTTGGTTGAATTTCGACCACTGGGCGACCACTAGTTAACATAGATAAACCATGAAGGTGCTTTTTTTAATGGGTGAAAATGCAAGCGGGGTGCATTATCGGTATTTATTGACGGGGTACCAGTGATAGATGATAGGTGAGAATGAAAGCAGGTCAGTTGGCCCATCGTGAAGAAATTAACAAGTAATCAACCAGGATGGTGTCCAGGGGGAACCGCGTGGAGGTCGACTTGATAGAGTACATTGCTAGTAATGAATCCATTACTAACAATCCCTTTCCCCCACCATAAAGGTGCTAGAGCATTATAGATTACACACTACATATCATAAGTATTAGAGTTCGAGATATTTGCACATTCAAGTCCTTGATGGAGATAGGTTGAAGACAAATAGAAAACTATCTCGACCTTAATATAACGCGCTTCATTTAGTTTGTCCTCGCTCCAAGGATGGAATGTATGCCATTGTTATGCTGGCGACATAAACGATTTATGACTTCTGGTGACGAGACTCGATAGGAATTGTTCCTCGGATATAGTGTACTGTAAATGTATTTAATATTAACATAATTAAATGTACGAATTTTATTTATTTCAAAATAAATATGGAGAAATTATGTAATGTACCCGTAACCGGCACGCGTGTATAAAAAGATTGATGAATGTGGAAGAAACGAAAAAGGTTTGTTTGAATCGAAGCATTTAGTGTTCCATTGTTTCTGCCTACCCTAATGGGAGACAGGCGTGACAGATATGTATGTATGTGAAGAATAATCTTTTTAATATTATAAATATGAAAGTTTGTATCAGAGGGAGATTTTGTACAAAAATCGTTTGCTTCGGCATCTCTGTTCCATTCGTGTTTTTACTGTGAAGCAGTTGTGTTTGCATGGCTGTGTTTCGGTTTGAAGGGTGGGATATGGCAGTGAATTTACAGGGTACAGAGGAATAATACCTGAGTCCTCAGGAATGGCAACGCATGGGCGAAACAGTACACTCTGTTATGTCAATGGTACTGCTCATGTCTATAGGCGATGGCTACCACTTTCGATCAGGTGGGCCGTCAGCTTGTTTGCCATTATAAGTTCCATAAAAAAAAAGTTAGTAACGACGCATGACTGGATGGATATTTGTTTGTTTGTAAGACTTTATTGTACAATAAAGTCTTAAATTATAAGATATAGAGTTCTTGAGAAAGGAATGAGCACAATGCCGATCTTACCACATAAAAGGGATCTCTTTCAGTTAACCTTTGAGTGTCTGATAAAAGCAATGAATTGATCGAGACTGTCACATTTTTCCGCAAAAACTATTGTACCGATTTGAATAAAATTTGGTACATGTGTATGTTATATCCTACTTTAGTACATAGGATACTTTGTGTGCCGATTCATGCGCATGAAGCAGTAGGCTACAGCTAGTACGTAAATATACCAGAGGGAGATCTTATACAAAAAACCTGCCAAGTGCGAGTCGGACTCACGCAATGAAGATTCCGTACAAAATCATCAACTTTTTTTTTTGTGAAATACTAAAAATTTATGGTTTTCGGATTTTTTCCTTTACTTGTGCTACGTGAGATTGCTTCTTGCCAAATTTTATAATTCTAGGTCAATGAGAAGTATTCTATTGATTTGGGTTCCCTTTGCGAATCTCAAAATATGCGTATAAATGGAATATAAACGGCCGTATTTTTTAATTGCGTCGATTTAGAAGCTTAATTTTTTCACTGCTTTAAAAGATTGCAGACTGGAGTAAAAAATATTAATTTAAACATGATACCTCCACGAGTTCCTAAGAAAAAGGGTCTTAACAGACGAACGGTACGGACGGACAACGAAGTGATCCTAAAGGGTTCCGGTTTTTTCTTAGCATGTACGGAACCCTAAAGATGAATATAAGTTTTAAAAATATTAAAATTGGTGATATAATGATATTCTTTATTCACCTTTATTTTTTAGTGCTTGTGAAACATCAGAGCTTGAGTATCCACTGTCATTCACTCATAGCTGTTCATTTACTGTACGAACTGCTGCCAAGTTGTTTTTTTTTTATTACGTTTTTCGTTCACTCATTTCTTTTATTGTCTCCCGTTCAAGTGACACGACATTGTTTCACATTTCTATTTTGGTCGTGAGTTTTCATTTTTAGTTCAAGATTACAATGTTTCTCCGCCGACGTCACTTCTGCGTCCAGGTTTAGACGAGGAACTACATTTCTTTAGATGCACTTGACATATTTTATAAACTTTTTTTTATGCAATTTAGAATGGCCAAAACGCTGACGGCCTACATGATGGAAAGTGGTAACCGTCGCCTATAGACATGAGCAGTACCATGGACATAACAGAGTATACTGTTTCGCCCATGATAACCCCATGCATTGCCATTTTTAAGGACTCAGGTGTTATTCCTCTGTACCCTGTAAATTCACTACCATATTCCACCCTTCAAACCGAAACACAGCCATTCTAAGTTGTATAAAAAAATATATATACGCAAATAGATAAGGGATCACATAACCTTTTGTCTGAAGTGTAAAAATATCTACGACAATTTTAGATTGGCACAACACTTTATTTATAAAGCTTTTACGAAAATCCCTGGAATAACAGTTCCAATACACGAGTTCAATGTACATATTTTTAGAGGCTTTTATTTTTCAAAAACCTATTTAGAATTCTACAATTTTATAAACAACTAGCGGCCCGTCCTGGCGTCGTACGGGTGGACATTTTTAACATTTCCCTTCACTGCTCTGCTCCTATTGATCGTAGCGTGATGAAAAGTACACTTTAACCTGCCCAGGAGTATGAAGAATAATTGTACCAAGTTTCGTTAAAATCCGCGTCGAGTAGTTTTGTTTCTATAACGAACATACAGATATATAGACAAAAATTTTTCTGATTGCATTTTTGGCATCAGTATCGATCACTAATCACCCTCTGATAGGTATTTTGTAAATATATTTCATGTGCAGAATTGACCTCTCTACAGATTTATTATAAGTATAGAAAGACAATCATGTTTTTGTTATTTTTTATAAACAATAACAAAAACATGTTTTTGTTATTTTTTTTTTTTTCCCTAGGGATAGGGATTACCGTTTCCCTAAATATTGGGAGCCAATTACACTGCGCTTTTGGATATCAAGTGTAATGGTGAATTTGCAGTTTATTTATTTTATTTGATTTTAAGTTTTTTTGTTTCCATATGTTGTAATGTTATAATTTTATGATATGATTTGAAGAGACAATAGTATTATAATAATATGGATTAGGATCATCGGTAATATCGTATCAGCTGTAACCCTTAATCAGGCATAGTACGATTTATCGACCGCCTAGGTAATTGAAGTTTTATAGTGATCTTTGTCTTTTTTTAATTCATAAAACCTTTATTTGATTACCAATATTTGTATCTTTCGTATGAAGCTAAACATTTTTTACTAAACAATTCATTTTGCGAAAAATCATTATTTAAAGAAACTGGTCATTATATGCCCTGTACCCGTCTGGCGGTAGTATGATATGGACACTGTTACCATTATACAAGAGATGCTTTTAAATTACAAATATAATTGTAAATTATTAGGTTTTTTATAACAGAAATAACATTCTACGTTTTCTTTTTTAACAAAAATAACATCCTTCTTGTAGCGTAAAAAAATTATTTTAGTAGGGAATAAAAATTTAAATAGGGATAATGGAAACAAATTATAAAACGACAGAGAGCTCTTTAATAGGCACTTTTTTGTCTTAATATTAATATTTTTTAAGAAACAGATCTTAGGTATACATTGTACAGGTAAAAATTAACAACACACCACATTTAAAAATATGTTTTAATGCCAGTACATATGGGGCCTGATTAAAAGTTAAATATCCACTGCTTAACGTAGGTATATTATTTCAGATAAAAAAAAATTCAAATTGGTTTTCAATTGATGAAGTTGTAAGGGAGCAAATATGAAATAAACACAACCGAATCGAGAACGTATTTTTGAAGTCAATAGAAAATTTTCATACTTTTTTTTTACGTTTACTTAAATAAAAATTATTCCCATAAACATGGAGAGAGACCCAATCTCAATAGTGGGAGGGTCGTCATGAACGCTTGCCTTAGTCAAATATAAACAGAAGCGCCGGCCAACTTTGTTTTATTCCATTTAAAGGAGATATTCACGAAAAACGGACTTTTCAAGTATTGTTGAAAGCAAACTGTCCTTTATCGTATCGTCGTGAGAGTAAACAAAGCGTAGAATTACAAAGGGGCGAATAGGGGTTCTTAGGACCAATATATCTTTGTATCACTTTCATGGGTATTTAAGTGATACTTTGACATAGTTTTAGATTTTTATTTGTCCTTAACTGCTGTAGCATGTAATTGCGTCTAGTCGGTAATGATTTCATAGGATTTTATTCTTCTTGCTAAAGTAATTGTAGAAACAATTGAATGTATCATTTTTAGATGGTGTATTAAGATGAAACCTTAGAGTGTATAGATAGAGCATCGAATCTCAAATACTGGTCAACTTTTGTCAGCTGATTGTCAAATTAGCTGACTCGTTTTTCTATCAGTGTCCTATATACTTACGCACATAATGTATCTTGACACATCTATGTTTAATTAATAAATAAAAGCTGTTTTTTTTTTTATAAAGGAATCACTCATAACTATTTATCACGCAAAATTGTATGAAAAAGTTGACCCGGTTTTTTCGAAGCATTTGTATATAGACACTATCTATATAAGGATGAAACATGTACCAGATTTTAATTTAAACCTTTAGAAAGCCAATTGGAAAAACTATTACACCAAACAATTTGGTGTAATAGTTTTTGCGCGATGCCGGAACAAACTGAAAAACGGACAGGTAGACAAAATTTACAAACATTATTTACTAGATGGCGCTAGTGCATTTATGGCACGCGATATTAAAATTTCTGTACAACCAATATAGGATATGTGCCAAAACATTCAAAATTACTCTGGTTTCCCATCAAAACGGATAAATCTTTCGCCTTTTACTAAAGATTTCCGTGGTGGGGAACACTCAAAAGAGTCTTATTTATTTTTTAAAAAGTCCTGCTCTAGCAGGATTTTATTAATTATCCCTATATATGACGAGTACAGATATCGGGCTCTCTAGAAGTCTAGACAAGTGGCATGCGAATTTGTCGATTAAATCGACATTTCTAGCGAGTCCGTGAGTTAGAATAAACAGCAGACGTTCCTATCTCATTTTATCTCACGGACTCGCTAGCTATTTCGATTCCACCAATAAATTCGCTTGACACTTGTCTAGAGGGTCCGTATGCAATTTTTTTTTAGAAATACAGGATATAAAAATAGTAGCTTACAACACACACTCAGCAGATCGAACCGCGAAATCAGGCTAACGCTCACGCCACAGCCGCTCATGATTAAAGGTCTAGAATTTGTCCCGAAACTAGTTGAGCTTTCTCAATCTAGTAATAGTGTAATTACACGTAAATTAACTAGTAGATATTATAATAAAAAGATATCATGTTGTCAGTATCGTCCCATGTTAGACACGCATTAATTTTATGACGAAGTTACCCTTTATTTTGTGGAGCAAAAAACTGTATTTTGCGGAGTAAGATCTATAAATAAAAAAGCGACGCCAGATTCTAAATGTTATTAGTATAACATATAGAAAGTTATTAATATTAATAATGTAATTGTTAATTTTATTTGACGATATTGACTATGTATCTACACATATTTATTGGTTTCATTTGAATTTGTTTTTTTTATTTTATTCTATAATCTTAATAATCACAAACACTAATTTGTATCCTTATTTAAACAATAAATTTTATTTGCATGTCTACAATTTTAAGGCAATTAAACGGGTGCCAAAAAGTTCTGTCACATGACCTTTGTTACTCGTATGCCAAATGTCTGTACTTTGTACAAAAGTCGATTGCTTGGGTATCTCTGTTCAATTCGTGTTTCAACCGTGAAGCAGTTGTGTTCGCATGGCTGTGTTTCGGTTTGAAGGGTGGAATATGGCGTGCATTTACAGAGTACAGAGGAATAACACCTGAGTCCTCAGGAATGGCAACGCATGGGGGGTATCATGGGCGAAACAGTATACTTTGTTATGTCCATGGTACTGCTCATGTCTATAGGCGACGGTTACCACTTTCCATCAGGTGAACCGTCAGCTTGTTTGCCATTCTAAATTGTATAAAAAAAAAAATCAAAATTTCGTCAAACTAAGAATCTGTTTTATAGAACACGATTACTAAAGCATCAAAGAAATGAAAGAAAATAATAATTTAACATCGTAAATACATAAAAAGGAATTGGGGCCGACAGTTTAGAAGATGGGTGATTGAGATAGAAAAAAAATAATATTGGCTGGAGATATACGGGCCATAACTGCAATAATGGCATGGCCATCATTGGAAAAGTTGGTGGAGGCCATTGCCATCGAGGGATAAACAGATGCCATGATAATAATCATAAATAATACTTGATATACAAATATAAGTTTAAAAAAAGTTTGATGATTTAATTTTATGTTTGTTACTCTTTGGTGTCTTAACAGTAGGGGTGAGTACTACAATATATAGCAGCAATATCTATATAGTGAAGTTACAATATATTATATACATATATTTTTTTAATGGATGATTTTTTTATTATACAACTTAGTACGGCAAACAAGCTGACGGCACACCTGATGGAAAGTGGTAACCGTCGTCTATAGACATGGACAGTACCATGGACAAAACAGAGTGTTTTTTTTTTTTTTTTTTTTTTTATGCACCTCTGGTGTACTGTTTTGTCCATGATGCCCCCCATGCGTTGCCATTCCTGAGGACTGAGATGTTATTCCTCAAATTCGATAATGGAATGGTAACCCCACCCACGCTATTGGTATACACTGGCAGGGCACCAGTGAGGGATGATAGGTGAAGACGAAGTAGGTCAATTAGTCCATCGTGACGAATTCAACAAGAATTGTTCACGATGGTTTCCAGGGGGAACCACGTGGAGGTCGACCTAATAGGGCATATTGCTAGCAATGGGGCTGTCAAATCCAATAACTGGTTGCACAATGCTAAATCCAAATAACTGGTTTCGCTAATTGAAGTCGGTTTATTTTGTGGAAAAAAATCTTAATTAAATGTTAAAATCTATGCAAATGTGACAATAAATATCTGTATGAGTGATATCTATTTAATTTATGTATCATTTAAACTGTTTCTTAATGTATTTATTATCTGTGACTAAAACTGTTTAAGAAATAAATTTTTACATTGAAATTTTTGTTTTGAAACTAGATACTAGATTGCGCTACTAATAATGTATAAGTCGCTATTAAGATTTTCTTGTATTTGATGATACCCTATGAAAGAATGTAGTAAATATTTACATCTTATTACTCCATTTTTTTTATTGTACACCATTTGTAGAGATTTTTACTTACGTTACCTTTTGTTGTTTCAGAATCATTATTTTTATTCTGTAAAACAACCTATTCACCTATTTTTGACAAAACATATTTTTATAGACACACTCTGTATATATAAATTAAGATTATACCCAATCTAACGTAAAATGTTATAAATACGCGTATTTATTATTAGTAAACTAAATATATGGAGGTAGGGGATTGTTAGTAACGCAAACTAACAGACCCATTGTTAGCAATAGTGACTAAATCTATCTCTACGCGGTTCTAACTGGAATGTTATTTCTTGGTGAATTCATCACCACGCACCAACTGCTCTAACTTGATCCTCACCTACGAGTATCATTCTTCTCGAATATCCTGCCAGTACTAACAGCTTACTATTACTAAATTACTATTAGCTTACTATCCAAAAAGGTTATATTAGGGGGAAAGGGATTGTTAGTAATGGAGATTAAGATTCCTATTGCTAGCGATATACCCAACCAGGTCTACCTACTCGCGGTTCTCCCTTGAAACTATCATACTTAATTCCTTATAAATTGATCATGATGGGCTAACTAGCCTGTTTTCATTCTCATCGATCACCCTTCACTGGTGCTCCACCAGCGTATCCTGTTAGCGCGGGCAGGGTTACCATTCCATTTTCATCCAACAAAAAAAAAAATAGTGTATTAAGATTTCTTCCAGCGTCCATAGGTTACAGTGACCGTTTACCATCAGACGAGTTATATGCTTGTTAGCCACTTTTGTGATATAAAAAAAATATTACCATTTTCTGCTGAAAAAAAAAATATTGGAACACATTCCTCGATTTCCATCTAATGTATAATATTAATTGTAACAGCTGTATCCCACATCACACGGCAATATATACAGTCAATTTGTATGGCTGACACGCAATATGTTTGTACCGTGCACTCAGTCGACTAATTGGTCAATTAACTGTTATACGATTTACTAGTTTACCAAAATATCCCCTCCATTCGAGCCGTCATAATAATTTTTTTTTTCTAGTCTGCTTCAATTAATTGGCAATCTGTTCCTTATAGAACAATAATCCAATCTGCTGTCCGGATGTCAGGTTTAAATTTTGTCAATAAATGATGAGGCCAATCCATTAACCAGCTCTCAGTCTCTGCCTGTAAATCTTTCTACCAGTCCTTGGATACTGTGTCTTTTTAATCGAGAGAAACTAATGCTTCCCGATCCCTGTAATTGAGCGGCCATAATAATAAATGGGTAAAACCGCCTCTTCTACTGAGCCATCTTCTATTTCTTATATTGTTATTTCTCTTCTAAACTAGTATTATAAAATAGAGAGATATATATATATATATATATATATATATATATATATATATATATATATATATATATATATATATATATATATATATATATATATATATATATATATATATATATATATATAATAGCAAATTAGTAACGAAGTAAGCAAAGGCGAGCTTATCACTATGATTTTTTATGCAACTTCGAATGGCAAACAATCTGATGACCCATCTGATGGAAAGTGGTAACCGTCGCCTATAGACATGAGCAGTACCATGGATATAACAGAGTATACTGTTACGCTCATGATACCCCCCATGAGTTGCCATTCCTTAGTACTCAGGTGTTATTCCTCTGTACCCTGTAAATTCACTGCCATATCCCACCTTTCAAACCGAAACACAGCCCTGCAAACACAACTGCTTCACTGTAGAAACACGAATGCGGCAGAGGTGCCCAAGCAAACGACTTTTGTACAGAGTCTCCCTTTGGTAAATCTGACTGATTTCTTCCAGTGAACCTAACATAGTGGCATAGAAAGTAGTGAGTGAGCAGTAGTAGTGCTAAACAGAAAACTACTAATTTAGTCGATTTTGAATATTTTTTCGTCTATAGAAAACTACCTTACTTGCCATGTGGTCCTGGCACGAAATGGGATGCTCCTTCCTTTTCCGTGGGTGTCGTAAGAGGCGACTATGGGAACTTAATGGTCGAGGGATAGGCAGCAGCGTCCCTCCTGAAACATCACCAAAGCCTAACTGCGACTGCCAACCCACCTGCCAAGCGTAGCGACTACTGGTAAAGTCCTCCAATAGGTGAAGGCTTATGATCAGCAGTGAACAGTTAAGGACGGATGTGATGATGATGACTTATCCTTTAAAGCGATCATGTATATGGGAGTCTCAAAAATGATTGTCGTTTTTGAATTTCTGTTTCTATTAATTTTTCTCCTAATGTACTTTGTAACATAACTAAAGTCTTAGTTTTAGATACGTCTAAAACTACTGATTAAACCATGTATCACATAAAACTATTCCAAATTGTCTAACAAAAATAAGGGTATTCCCGGGTCATGAGAGGTCATTGACATTTACCCTTTTGTTCCACCCCGTGACAGCGTACTCATTAGTATAAAGTAGTATCCATAACATAAAATTGTGGTTGACTGGAACATGTAATAAAATCTAAACGCTCAGTACATACCGCTTTCCGAAGCAACTTTGTTATTAATCGTTTTTGGAACAAAGAGCGCATAAATATTAAATTTCAATAAACCTAGAATACTTGGAGTGAAGAGATAGCGTTATAGTGTTATGGGATTTACATTATTCTCGCTTTAAAGCCACGATTTTAAGTCAAAA